TTTTATTTTTACTATTTCATAAATTTTAATTTGTGCAATCATGAGAAGGCCAATGATAGTTTAAAATTATTTAAATAAGAATATAGAACGTATTATTATAAGTACAATATTTAAAAGTTAATTTTTATGATATCAATGCCTCTCCTGTAACACCATGACGATGACTGATGTGAAACTGAGGGGAACACTAATGTGCCTTGTTTCTTTATCTAGAATTGATTGCAACAAAATTTAGAATATAGGAGAATAGAACATTTTAACTACACAAACTATTTTCTCTGTGTTAACAAGTGTTCAGGAATCAGCAGGCATTCCTATGTTTAATACAGTGGCAACTCTTCATTTCTATCCTTCTTAAGGTTATTAGGAATGAATGATAAAATAAATGCACCTTGAATTTCCTAGCTTAGGACTAACAAGAGGAAAAACAATAATCAAATATTTGTCTCAGAAATTCCAATAGGAAAGATAACCAGTATGAATGGTTGGCACATCCTCATTTCAAAAACTTAAATCAATATCCAAGGGATTCTCCTATCCTGCAAATACTGACTTCATGACCATAGGGCACTTAGCCAAAGAGAAGCAGAAATAAAAATCATAACTGATAGCATTTCAAAAATAAAATTTGCATTTTGGGGAATAATTTTTCTCTACATGCCACCCATGTTCAACCATCATTATTTATGTACTCCAAAATTTAATAGTTGAAAATATCATAAAGTTTTTGCTTGTCTCACATTAGTTAACATTTGCTCCCTTCACTTTAAATTGCATTTCTCTTTTTGACTGTTCTAAATATCATCAATTCTGTGACTGCCTTGTGCATTTCATGTGACATAATAGCATTTCAGGAGTGGTTGTAGTGTATTACTCAAAAATGAAAAGCAATCATAAATATAGTATCTCTAAATGATTTGGAAAAGAAGCGATTCCCTTTACATTGTAAAAATATATGTACACATGTTAAGTACACCATGCATGCACATTTTCAATGTATAAATTCTTCAATATATACACAAATGTATGTATAAGTAAATACTCTAGATTGTGAAAAGTTAGGACGTTTGAAGCTCTAAAATGAGAATTTCATTTAGAAAATTAAATATGACTGTTTATTAAGAAACAAACTCTAGTGCCACTCATACAGATTGTTTTATTTCTTGAGGAAGTTGTCAAATGTAAATGGGTCACTATTTTCTTTTACTTTAACATTTTCATTTATCTTCCCTCCTCCCTTCCCCCCAAAAAAGCACACAGGGGTTAAGCAAATTAATTCCCCAAATGCTGTCAAACGGGTTGGGAAGCAGCAATAAACAGCTTACTGTAAAGCCTCCAGCTACAATAAAACAGCTGTCAATAAGTGGGCTGAGAGTTGGGCAAAAACAAGTCCTCTGGATATGATGATATGAAAGGGAGAGAGCTGACATTTTCTGTTCCCATAAGTGAAGGCAGTGGTTCTCAAAGTGTGGTCCTTGGACTAGCAGCCTCAACATCACCTAGGAACTTTTTAGCAATGTAGATTTTCAGGCCTGACCCCAGTGGTACTGAATTAGAACCTCTGGGGTGGGGCCAACAATCCATGTTTTAAGAAGTTCTTCAGGTGATTCTGAGATACCCTACAATTTGGGAAATAATGTCATATTTTAAAATTATATCCACCAATGACACTGGTTTTCTTTTAGGCAAACATACCAATGTACTTTATCACTTAAAGCTTTACTGAAATTATGTTGTCATTTTCTTAGCCTTGTAGGGTGTGTGTGTGTGTGTGTGTTTATAAATAAATACCAAGACATAGTCTTTTGCTAAAAAAAATAAATAAATAATAAAAAAAATCTCAATCTGTGAAGGCTAAGGGCACTTCCAAAAATTTGTAAAAAAATAATTTGTGGAAAATCCAGTGACAGATCTTTTATGTTCAAAAAAAATGAAAGCTTAGTAGAATAAAGCGAATGAGGAATATGATTTACAATTGTTTCCTGTGTTCTTTGCAGGTTCACACAAGGGAAAAACAGCAAGGGGAAAAAAGACAAAGTAGGAATCCATGCACCACAAACAGACCCATGCTGTAAAAGTCAGACACTGTGTTTTCACTGTATACAATACAAATTTGTGATATTTAACTTTGTTAACCCTTTACTCAAGATCTTGCATTTAACTCAGATATCAATTAGCAGCATAAAGTGAAAGAAGGTTCCTGGCAATAGCAATTGTGCCCACTCATAAAATCTTCACAGATTACATCTGAATTTATAAATCACTTTGAAAGCTTTTGTAGTTATACAACATCACTTCTTCAAATTGTGTACCTTTGAGAGCACATTTTATATAAAAGCCACTAGTTGAAGTGAAGGGGCTAAAAAAAGTTTTTACTTTTTAGTTTAACTAGAATATCTTTAGATAACAATTATATAGATCAATGAAAACACATTTTTAAAGGGTAATATATAATTTATGTTCTTCATTCATAAAAAACATGCACAGTTTTCCTAAAATTGTGCATATTGCTTTGTATATAACCATCACCTCCCTACCTACTTCCAATATTCCTTTTCTCCAACATCACACTTTTCTTTTTCAGCATGAAAACTTCTAAAAGGTATAAGCAAAGCCATTTCAATAGCTCTTTATCTAAATAGTGAATTATAGCTTCATTTGAACATTGGAATGCCTACAGGAGAACTGTAATGTGACACATGGTCACAAGGAATGCCTAAAATGCACTTTCCTTCCAGTTAGAGAATTACTCAGCATCCTATTTGAAAGATTACATCATACAAACAAATATCTTTATGACTGACTTAGTTCCAACAAAAGATCTTTTCTATAAGTTGCTGAAATGCACTTAACATTTATGTCACTGCATTATATATATCTATAAGTTCAACTTTTGGGGGAGAAGTCAGAAAAAAAGTGGGTTTGTATAGCAATGCAAGTACCCACCATGCTTATATGAAAAGAAAGATGATTTGGAAGTATATCAGAATATTTCTTTAGAAAACAAATTTCAGATTTTACAAGAAGTGTTTTAAATCATATTAGTTTCTTCAACATAATTATGAAAATCATCAAATACCGTAAGTATATTATAAGCGACCTTCACAATAAAAGTAAATAACAAAATCCCATTTTCTTTCTTTCTATTAATATAGCAATTTTTAATTAAATCCCTTTAGTTTCATAAATTACTTTTCTTATCATAATTCACTATTTAATAACTTTTAAAAGCCTTTACTAAGTCTGAACAATTTCTAAATTTTAAAACATTCTCTTTTCAAATATTAATAAAATTAACACAAAAAATTAGTTGTTCGAACTTTTACTTATATGTAATAACCTCATATCCTCCTTTATAACTTGTATACTGATTTATTTTAAATTATTTTTATCCTGTGTATTTAAGCTGTAAGCATTTGTACTTTTAAAATGCTTTAGATGTTTAATATTCTACTTTAAGAAATGGAAACTTTGGTTGTATACTCATAGGCATTACACTTAATATTCTGGGAGTATCTGTGTGATTCACTGTCAAAATTATTTTTATAAATATCTTATTATCACAAAGCCTTAAAGTCATTCCAGAGCAATAAATAATAGATGTCAAGGGGAAAACAGTTTCAATAAGACACTAAGACACACTACTCCTCCCCAGCCTATAAAGAAAAGCTCTTGATTCTCCAAAGACTAATCAATGACTGAAAATTAATTTTGCTTTACTTGACTTTCTAAAATCTATATGTTCCTTATTTTTAACAAATACAGATGGGTCATCACCATAGGTGGACTCTGGACTCCTTACCAACAAAGATTGAACTTGCATTACGAAATCCTAGAAAGTTGGTGTGGTGAGAGCTAATCACAAAAGAGCAAGCAAATGAACTTAAATGCTAGTTGCTCCAGAGCAACTATCATTAAATAAAAGGTATCTTTGGCTGTACTACCAGCTTGATCCTTCCCTCCCCCCTAGCCTTGCTACTGCGGGATTGGCACCTGGCCAGCATAAGCGACATGATACCCTAGTGCCATCTACAGGCTATTATCGATATTCAAATTTTGTGGCAACAGACAAGCACCAGTGAAATAAATTAGACAGCGCTGCATTTAAATCTTTATTAACAAGGAATTATTAGACCTAAGAAAAACTAATTCTGGATTTGGTTGAAATATGAGTTTCTTAGCCTCTTAATCCCTCTTCATATGGCATATTTCACAGTTTAAAATGAGTTATGACAGATCACTTATGCATTACTAAGATGAGAGAATATTTACAATGGATTCATTCTTTTCTCTATAAATCAGTTATATTAGGCAGAAAGCATTCCTTTTTTTCTCTTTTTTTTTTGAAAGAGTATTTGGCCATTGTGGACACTAAAAATCTTTCTATTAAATACCCAATTTAATATAGTACAATAAAATAATTTGAAATCAAAGAGAAGACTTCCTATATGGCTTAGTTGCAATCTATCAACGATCATGTGCTTCACAGCTGATGTACATTTAATATTCTACTATCTTGTTCAGAGACTAAAAAAAAAATTAACCCCTTTAGCAACCACAGCTCTGACCGTAATTGCAGTCAGACCTTCAAACGTCATTTAAAACTTGAGATTTGAAGGTGACTTTTTAGATCAAAAGGTAATGTGCAAATCTTGAAGCAGTCAATTTGGAAACCCCAGGAGTAGAATTTGGCATATCAGGACAGGTTTTCCTCTTCAGCAAACATTATCTTGGGACATTTTGGAATAATTTCCTCTTTTCATCTTTTGCCATTTGAAGGAAACTGGGAGGTTAAATAATTCTCAGAACTCAGAAATTTCAAAGCTGTTCTAAAAATTCTCAACTGAGCCCCAGAGGAATAGAAAAGGGGTCAAGTTTTTTTTTTCCTCTTTGTAACTAAGCTAAAGTTAGGCCAAAACAATAGACACACTGGCACATTAATACTGGTTGACTGGGCACTTGTATGCAGTACTTATAGACCAGTAAAAGTGCTCGTTTACCTGTCTGGTGTGTAAGGGGCCCTTTGTCTTGAAGCCTCCTTGGGAACTGCACTCTGAGGCACTGAAGTGATCTGAACTAGTGGAAGAGCGTTTGGACAGGGTGTCACAACCCCCGACAAAGGTGTTGTCCAAAGGGAGCTCCTGAATCACATGATGCTTTTTCACAGAAACTGGAGTGTCTGGTTTGAGATGAAAAGCAGGCTGTGGAGAAGCAGATTTGTAGTGCTTGGCCAGGTCAGGGCTGTTAGGCTTGAAGGTTGTTGGAGGTGCTGGGCCCCAGTCAAATCTTCCTATACTCTGCTCCTCTAGCTCAGCCGGCAGGCTTATCGTCCCATTGATAGGTTCATGAACTGCATCATCGGGTTTGGACTCTTCGATAGTAACAAAGTTCAAAAGAGAGCTCTTGGGAGACTTTCTTTTCTTCCTTTTCTTTTTCTTGTTTTGTTTGTTCTCCTGGTTCGGGGACATCCATTCTGCACCTTGCTTGCTCCTCTGAGCTGCTTTGAACCTTGATGCATGGCGACAGCGCACCAGAACAGTGACGAAGATCACAACTATGACCACCATGGCGCCTGCGACGATGGCAATCATGATGGTGAGATAGTCCTCATTTTGATAGGGTTGGCTACTATCCCCTATGTTCCTGTCCAACGGGGTCTCCATAGTCCTGCGGATCAAGTCATAGATATAGGAGGCATTTCCAGCAGTGTCATTAACATAAAGAAACACAAGCACAAGTGTGTGCAGAGACTTAGGGTACCCCAGGTCACTTATGTTGACCACCAAACGGTGCAAGCCAACATCAGTAGGTGCTGGCTTTTCTTCCAGGGTGATGTTACCTGTTACTGGATCAATCCGAAATAAGCCTTTGTTGTTTCCACTCACTATTGTATACTTAAGTTCAGCATTCATTCCAGTGTCGATATCCACTGCAAAAACTTCTGCTACCACGGAGCCAGGAATGGCTGAGAGGGGCACCAACTTAAAGGAAGTGTTAGATGGTGGAGAAATGACAACTGGGCTATTGTCATTGACATCCATGACATTGATGGTTACTTTTGCAGTAGAGGAACGAGGTGGTTGTCCTCCATCAGTGGCTTTGACATCGAAAGTGTAGGAACTCTGCTGCTCTCTATCAAATGAGACATTTGACTTTATGACTCCAGAATATGGATCCAACACAAAATTATCATTGTCATTTAGAATAGAAAGAGTCACAGCCTTATTCTCTCCAGCATCTGCATCTGTCACTGTGATCACCCCCACAGTACTATACTTTGGCAGATTCTCAGACACAAAAAATTGAAAATGATTATGAGTAAACTTGGGGCTATTGTCATTCTCATCCAGAACAGTAACTATCACAGCCGCTTGGCTTTGGAGGGGAGGGGTCCCATTGTCCCTGGCAGTTACTGTAAAAATGAATCGTTCTTGTTCTTCTCTGTCAAAGACTCTGGAGGCTGTCAAAACTCCTGTCTTTCGGTCCAGATCAAAGAAGGAGGCATTCGGTCCAAGCTGATAAACAATGTCTGCATTTTTCCCACTGTCTTCATCTGTGGCACTAATAGTTGTTAAGTATAACCCACGTCGGTTGTTTTCAGAAACTGACAGCTCAATTACAGGCTGGTTGAAAATTGGTGGGTTGTCATTTTCATCCTCAAGCTTAACCCTTACCAGGGCAGTCTGATTTAAACTGGGCTTCCCAGAATCAGAGGCAACAATTTTAAAGCTGAATTCTTTGGTGCCCTCATAGTCCAACAAAGACGAGGTCTCTAACAAATATTGGTTGTCATATACTGCCTTCAAATGAAATGGGACCTCTCTTTCAATAAAACAGATCACTTTGCCATTCACATCTGTGTCCTTATCTGAAACTGTAATTAGAGCAATCTTTGTATTGATGGGATCTTTCTCAGATAAATACACGGTGCCATTGATAGGACTTATAATGTACCTGAGGTCTATGTTAGGAGGGTTATCATTTACATCGGTGACATTAATGGTAACCGTTGCTCGAGCAGGAGTGGAGCTGCCATCACTAGCCAGCACTGTCACTTTGTGAATGGCTGTCTCCTCTCTATCTAAGGACCTCTGAACTGTAATTAGCCCAGTAGTATTATTTAAAGCAAAGAGTCTTTTGGTTGCAGGGGCAACCTGGGCACCAAAAATGTACCGGATTTCAGCATTACTGCCTATATCTGCATCAGTGGCATGGAGCTGAATTACAGAAGTACCTACGGGAGCATTCTCTGGAATATGCACCTCCACTTGACCCTCTTTAAACACTGGCCTGTTGTCATTTACATCACTTACTGTGACCTGCAGTATGGCCGTGCTGGATTTCTGTGGAGTGCCTCCATCCTCTACTTTGATTTTCATCACATAGGTATCTTTCTGTTCTCTATCCAAGTTTTGCTGAACAATCAATTGTGGCCACTTCTCTCCCTCCGGAGTTTCCACGATATCCAGTCCAAAAACACTCTGCCCATTTAACAATTCATAATGCTGTACACCATTGAAGCCTGTGTCAGGATCTGTTGCTGATGGAATTGGAAAGCGGCTGTTGATCAAAGTGTTTTCTGGAATGGAAATATTGATGACAGGAGATGGAAACATGGGGGCATTATCATTGGTATCCTTGACAATTATTTTTATTTTGATCAGCCTGAAAAAGTCATTGGGGAGGATCACCACCTCAAGTTCAAAGAAACACTCATTCTCCTCAGCATAAGAGGCTCCAGCACAGAGTTTTTCTCTGTCTATTCTATTGGAGGTTGTGAAAATTTCTCCAGTGCTGCTGGATACTTTCACCAAAGGGGCATCCCCAGCTTTAGAAACCAGTCTGTAGACAAGGCTGGCACTGGTCCCTGTGGCAGCATTGATGTGAGAAATGTTCAGATCCTTTGGTATGTTTCCTATGGGCACATTTTCAGGCAATTCCTCTCTAATAGTGTATATAAGTTCTTGAGCTATTGCGGAATCCAGCCTTAAACAGGCAATCAGAGCAGCCAACAGGTAAAAATCCCTCAGGTCCATGATAATGTATTTATTTTCTTTTCCTGGATTTTAGGGCTTAAAGATTTCCACTGAGGAATGATGTACGAATTGCAAGAGGAAGCGTGCATGGACTGGAGGATGCATTACATCTCATCACTTATTTGGAGACAGCCACTGTCAACACAATCGTATAGACAATATTATTCTTCAGTAAATAAAAACACACCATCACAAAATATCACAATATATTTTCCACTACATATTAGTAAACATGGTAGTTTGCTCTGCCACTGTTTGCAAGTTAACTCTGTGGATAAAAACACTAAATATCCCCTGCTTGTTGCATTTGCCCAGAGAAAATGAAATTTTCTACTTTTGAATTAAGGACAGCTGCTATTTTTACCTGTATTCACCCACGTTGTTTCTAGATTACTATTTTAATTCAAAACATGCATTCTTGTTCTCCTCTTCCCCTCCCCCTGTCTTACCCACCGCCTCCTGGCCTCTAACCCACCTCCCTCAGTTTTTTTAGGTGCAAGTGAAAAACCCTAAGTATTTAGCTGTGGTTCCTGCTAATTGCTTTGTCACATGTCAAATGTGTTTTCTTCTCTGCTACACTGAGTCATCTCTTTTTTCTAAAAAGACTACCTTTCTTTCCTCCCAGTTCTTCAACTGCCTTCTAATACAATCTTACTGGGAAACGAGCATCCGGACATGCTGCTGCAGCATCAGAAGCAATAGTCACCGGCCACTACATATCCTCATTGCCTAAAAGCACAATACCAAGACTTCAAATTTCTTACCCAGAGCTTGCTCTCCTTTCTCCATATTGACAAATTATTCCCATTAGGATTAATAAGCACATTTAAACTTTTAAAAATGTATAATAATATAACATTCCTTGTCCTAGACGTGGAAGAGAGTGCCGAGATGTAAGTGAAACGCAGCTAACATTCCTATGTAACATCACAATATTTTCTACTGAGCATAAAAGAGAGAGAGAGGGGGAAAAAAAGGCAGTTTCTTAATCCTGATCTCTGGTTATAATATTGGTAACATTTGCCACACATAAATACTGCAAAGCGATAATGCAGGTAAAAAGGCTTCTGCTTAGATGCTCCTTTAACTGCAATTTAAATGGGTGCAAAGGCTCCAGGAAGCTACCTACTTGAGTAGGACTGGTCAGTTCTCAGGCTCTAATCTTATCTGCATTAGGCTGCACGGTAGCTGATGCCCGCGATTAGTTCCGGCAGAGATGCAGGTAGGGATGCAGATACAGCCGAGTAGGTGAGCTCTGCCCCAACAGTCCACCCAATTACAAACATCCCTCGTCTACACTGAGGACATATCTAAACACAGAATTTACAATTGTGCATGCAAAACTTTACACTTACGTTAGTTGCCTCAACCTTTCCCCTTTCCCAGTATGCTGCAGTTAGGAATGATTTGTTCCAACACATAGAAAGCCATGCATCTGGTAGCACCAGTTTGGGGAGAAATCAGAAGCAGCGAAACGTTTCCTCCTTGTAAAATGTGTTGCTTCGGGCTGGCAAATTAGCAACTCCAGAGAACAAATTCACAGATTTGTCGTTAGTCATTCTCTCCACGTTTCGTCTCTATTACCCACTGGGTCTGGGTTCTTCTGGGTATTTAACACACATACAACATCCAGTTGCACTTCTTCAGCTCAGGGGCATTTTCCACAGCATCAAGCGTACCATTTCCACCCGATGTCAATACTGCTTAAGTCTCTAACTTCTTGGAGGAGACGTCAGAGTTGGGGTGATGGTGGTTCTCTGGCTGCTCTCCCGGTGACAGTTGCCCAGAAATTCCTAATCGGCTGTCTCTTTCGTGCTTCAGAGACTCTTCAGGCGCTCCTTCCTGTCTCGCAAGCTCTCCCTCTCTCTCTTCTCCTCTGCCCCTCTCTCCTTCTCCCTCTCCTCTCTCCTCTCTCTGAACTGAATTTCTTGATATAACTCTCAATAAGCCCAGAGGGAGGGCGTGACGGCCTAGGCCCCGCCCCCGGCCCCTGATTGGCCTGCATCTTGCGGTGCGGGCGGCCGCGGCCGGCGCGAGGGAGGGGGCGCGGAACAAGGCGCGACTGTCTCCCAGCTTCCCCTCCTCCGCGCCCCCTCGGCAGCCGCGAAAACCCGGAGATCTGATCCCGGCCCCGGGAGAGCCGGGTTCCGGGAGGTGCACTGAGCATGCCCAGCAGGGTCTGGCCGGGGAGCGAAGCGCTGGCGCTCCCAAGGCCCGCTCGGAAGCGGCGCTCGCAGGCAGGCGCTTGCGGGGCAGCGAACCGCCGAGCCCGGGCGGTCTGGCAGGCGTGGGCGGCGCGGGAGCCCGGCGGGGCGCGCGAGCACGGATCCGGGGAGCCCTGGGCGTCGCCACTGGCGGATAGGGGTCACCGAGGCGGCTCGTCTCCGGGCGCACATTTCGCACTTTTCCTTGCTAAGTGGAGGGGCCAAAACGCACAGATGGGGGAGTCTGTCCGGGACCCGAGGCGCGAGAAGCGTCGCCACCGCTCGGTGGGAGCACGGGCCGGCGATCCCCGGGCGCGTTAGACGGACAGCACGCCCGGTGCTGCACGCGGACGCTTTTGCTGGCGGGGACGCTGGAAAGAAGGGCGGAGAGGGCGGATAGTGAACGGTGGGGGAAGCGGATGTTTGAATCTCAGTCGAGACTGGAAAGAAAATTAATGTGAGCCCTTCCTACAAGCAGGGTCACGGAAACTGCCTAGGAAAGAAAAAGTAGCAGCCTGTGGGATCCCTTTGGCCAGCCCCGGCCAGTCCTCCGTGCGTGCGAATTCTCCTCTCGCGCAGCAGGACTGGCGGCGATGGCCCATCCGTGGCTGTCCCTGCACTTCTGCGCCTGCAGCGCCCCGAATCCTGAGAACCCGGCTGGCCAGACAGGCGGCAGCAGCAAAACCCGCTTTCAGCTCACCTAACTGCAAACTTTGCTTCCGTGGGGCTGGAAGAAAGGAATCCCGTGCAGCTGTTTCCCAGGCTGTGGAACACTTCCTTTCCCCTATGCATTTTCTGCTGATTGCAACTTTACTGTAATACTTGTCTTTTCCCCTTTTCCCCCGTGCAATTTATTTCTGTCACTCCAGCTCTGTAGTATCCTCACGTTTCTTATTTTCATACAAGAACTGGATGGAATGACTCCGAAAGAATTGACCTTATTCCTCAAATATTGCACCCCCAAACACTACCTACATTTGATCTTTTAATATCCGTAAATCACGAAGGTTTGTGCAATGGTTGTACCTACAACACAGATATCTGAGTAAAGTTTGAGGCATTAATATAGTGACAGTTCATTTGGAACAAAAAAAAAATGTATTTTTCTGAATGACCTATAAAGGTTGTTTAAGGTCTTAATGCATGATTGAATAACTTGTCCTAACTTACAGGAGGAATGAAGGGCATGTATTTTAAACCTCTTTTCCTCATTTGTACTGGGATGTACATTGAAGGCTCTTCATGTACATGTACGTATGCATTGTGATGGCTTGAGAATACGTCTTATTTTTGAATACATTGGTCTTCTTTTAAAATAATAACGTAATTTTAGGTGTTTACGTTAAAAGTAAAAACAAAAGACATTACCAATCAAACCTACCAAGCTATATGTTGTATATTTTATTTAAGCAACTCCTTTGACATAATTTCCACACATGAAATTGTAAGGCTCTTTTTTTATTCTAACTTTTCCTCGGGTGAATAGTCACAGTAAAACTACAATGTCTAAAAGCCCACTGTAAAATCTATTAATCCCTTATATGTGAGCTATAAAACATTTTTCTTGCAGGCAGTATGTTGGTATTTTTTAAAAATAACCAAGTAACTCTTACTATAGTAACATTTTGTATGCTTAAAATATACAAAATTTAACAATAAAAAGAACTGCTTAAGTATCCAAAGTCAAGAGAAAAATATACAATTACAAGACCAGTGAATTAAAGGATGATTCTATTATCTTAAACAGTGAATGATCATTTTGCCATTCACAAAATCTACAATTAAAGCTAGTACATTGTTCCAATTCTCACCTATTTTATGCTCTGAACTATGTTTAAATAAATGAACCATCATTCTGATACATTTACAATAAACATAGCAGGAGAGCCACTTTCCAGTTCATTTCATAAGCATCAGTTATATCATATTCTAATCATACCGTAGTCACTTCAAAGTCATGTTGTAGTCCCAACACATAGCTTAGCAATAATTATTTAACATCCTTATCAAGCGGAATTGTTTCTGTTTGCTAAGGGATAGCTTTACTTGTTAGAACAACCCATTATTACATCTTAGTAGGAACAGAAGATGTAGGTTAGAGAAGAGAAAAAAGTCATCACATGATTTAATTTATGACTATGAGACTTCAATTAAAGAAAACCACAGGTCAAAGCCCCAGAATGAAATATGTCTAGATCCTTTTTAAAGGAGATTGAATATAATATAGAAATAGAGCTACCGACTCAGGGCATTCTATCTTATAGGTGTTTATTTGACATATCTAAATTAGTGGAATTCCTCAAACATACCAGTTTTCCCTCTTAAAGCTAGAATAGTTGAGATTTGTTTGCCCTATTATATTCCAACTTCTAAATTCTAGAATGAGAACTATTATTAGAGATCTCATTAATATTCCTAGAAGAAAATTAAATATAAAGGGTCATATTCCTAACCCTCTCTATAACTTGAGGCTTTTGTCCAAAACACTATATTAACCATTTGCATAATGACAGCTGTTCACAACCCACCTCTCCTGTACTATTTTTAAAAGTTATATCTGCATAATTATGAATTAGGAAAACATTAATTTTCATTTTTGTAAGGGAACATCTATTGGTATTGTGCTGCATTTTATTTTCTTTAGTGAATTTAATAAAGTGTTAGATTTCCAATTATATGATTTCCAATATAGATCTCTCAATACATACTTATATTACACTTCCAATTAGATTTCTTTAACACTTATCCATCTTTATCAATGCATATTTTCTATAGCAAGGAATTATGATGTTCTCACCTGTGTTGTACCTGATTAGTACTTTAGGAATCATGCCATATGGGCTATAATAAAATTGCCTTAGTGTTCTCTGCTGGTTATATAGATCTTGGGATACTTGTGAAGCTAAGTCACCTTCGGTCAGCTAACTAAAGACTAAAATGCTATTGCATATATATACACAAACAGATATTGAGTTAATGAAATTATTTTATATCCCACAAATTTAATATTGTTCTATTTGTATATTTAAACAATAATTTCCATGCAATGGCATTTAATAACCTAAATTATTAAGCAATTCAGTTTGTTAATTGGATTTTCATCTACGATTTTCTTCTAGTTACCACTCAGCATTTTCAAATTACACTTCACACAGAGATTGTAAATGCTTCTTCTGTAAGTTACACTTTATATAAAAGACATAGACTCAAGTATTTAGAATAATCAAATGACCTTTTCAAGGACTTCAAAGCTAATATTTTTAACTTCTAATATACTAGTCCTATATTCAAATCAGTTAAAAATTAAATAAAAAATACTTTTATGCCTGTACTTCTAAAATTCATTTAATCCAGATGTCTTATTGTGTCTAACAGACATTAATCAATCAATCACAGGGGCTCTTCAGTCACAGCAGGTATTATTGTCCCTATTTCACAAAAGAGACTAGACTATTGCACTGTACTGGGGGTGGGGATTGTGCTAAAAATGCTAAGGGTTATTTGTATTATCACTGTTTAGAAAATGACAATGCAGAATTTTAACACCACAAAACGAAAATTAGCACCTTTTAAGGCTGTGCAAACTAGCAAAGTGTAGTAAGTTCCTTGAATAATTCCTTTGCTTCACTATTTATTATTAGCTCTTTCCTTTTGAATACCATTTCTTTTCTTTTCACTCCTTTTCTTAAGGAAAACCTAGTCCAAAGTAATCAAATCACAAAGGAAAGCAGGTGACAACCTTCATTCTCTTTGAATGACTGAACTAAATTTATCCCAATTTGCTATAATTTTATGACTGACAACGATTATAAATGTCAGATTTGTAGCTCTAACAGTTATCACAATATAAACTGACATTTACCATTACCAGTATTTTATCATGATTACTATATAAATAAAGAAAATACTGAATTCTCAAGTTTTGATATTCCTCTTTTAAGATTTCAGATTATTTATAGACATAGCTTTCATAACAAATGGTTTCTTCATCACAGGTAGAGCTAAGCAATCATGTAGGAGAACATGAAAAAATGTTTTAAATATAGCATAAAGAGAATAAATATATATCATGTTTAATCTTCAATAATTTGATTAATGTCATAATTTCCAGTGAAATGCAATATGAAAAAGTTTCTATTTCTTGGGACCTTGTAACATTTATTTCTGTAGGTAAAAACTGTTAGATTAAAATATCAAGTATTATCTATTCAATTCAGATTTATAAAATGATAATGTCCAAGGACATAGGAAAAGCATGCACATTGTTTGGAAGCACCTTTAGTATTTACACTTAACAATAGAGACAGAAAAATGTTGAGGAAAGAACACATTTCAAACACAATAGCATTTCTCCAAAAATAATTAGGAAAATTATTTTTTTAGATATTAGAATTTTTAAAAATATAAATAAATATACTACAATAAGTTTTAAAATTATTTCATTAGATTTTGAGTATGTTGTAGAATACTTCATGTTATCTAAAATATGTTATCCAAAACAACATTATTTTGGAAATTTTTATTTTCTGTTTCTCTGACCAACCCTTTCTCATTTTTTTTTTAATAAACTCACATGATATTCTTCTAGAAGCCCAATTTGTTACATAATGTGCTTATAAATAGACTTAAAAATATAGGGCAAGATGGATAAGCCTCATTTTTCTCTTATAGTCTCTTCCTAGGAACCAAATTCCACTTACAGTCCCCCTCTAATTGAATTAGGATGAGTCAGGGAGACAACGTATATTGTTGACTTCTGTGCTGATGGCTTAACTCCATATCACTGATAACACCTAAGTGATGGAAATAGGAACT